ACTGAGCCCACTTGATCACATTTTAGCGGGGCAGGAATTAGCAGTGACACACGTGCACCTGTCGTCGCCACCTAGAAGTTGTGGGTGTAACAGATTCGATGTGCTTGCTGGGGAGGTGCTAAAGAAGTGACCTGAGTGTGCCACTGTGTCAGCAGTTTCTGAGTTGGAATAATGTTAAGGGGAATTTTTGTTAATTTCGTAAAACTATAGTTTTTCATTTGTTTTGTTTTTGTTTGCTTCTGAGCACTTTAAAAAAAATTTCTTTTCCCTTTATTATTTTAGAGAGAGAGGAAGGAAGGGAGAGGGAGAGAGAGATAGAAATGTTAATGAGAGAGAACATTGATTGGCCGCCTCCTGCATGCCCCCGACTGGGAATCCGACCCACAACCTGGGCCTGTTGAGCACTTTTTTTTTTAATGTATACATGGGTCAGTGTATTTTTACCATTAATGTTTATCTCCAGCAATATAATTGTTGATGCTAACGCTGAATATCAATTTGCTTTTCAGCAAATGTTGCTGAAATCGACTATTTAATTAAGCAAAAAAGGAGATATAAAGGCTGGGGGGAGGGGCAGTAAGATAAGTAGGAGCAAAATAACGTTCACAATATTTCTATTAGACCCTTTTAAATAGTTTTAATGTAGTAATAATCCTTTGTTTACTCTTAACTATGGCTTCATTTTTCATTAGTCAACAACATACATGTATATTTTCAAACACAAGTGAATTCATCCTAATAGGTAAAACATTGAATCAAAATGTACAGCACTTTCTCCTTGAGAACATCTATTCACAACTTGGTTGCTTCCCAAGACATACCTTCGGTCCATCCCTCTGTACATGTTTAATCATAGAGCCAATCAGACGTGGAGGTGGGCCTGTGTTTTATCTTCTACCCTATCTCAGTCAGAACCTTTGCACCCTGCTTTTATGCTGAATATTTGTGTCATTGTCCTCTGCTGTTTTCTCATTTGCATAACAGATCTTCCTCTTTAAGAGAGCTGATGACTGTAAAAGAAACCACAATCTGGCATGCTCTTAAAGGAAAGAAAACCACATTTTTAGCTAGATAAAACAAATATCTGTTTCTCTAGCCTTTAAAGCAAACAAATGAAAACACCAACATATGTATTTAAAACTCTCATTTCGCAGGTCAGCATGTTTGTGTGAGAAGTATTTAAGTGTAGCGAAGTAGGGCGATTCATTCTGCTTCTGTCAGAGCACAGGTACCGGACACCCTTGTAGGTCTGGGGATGACACAGTGTGTAAGATACACAATCTCTGCTCCCCAAAAGCTTAATTCTAGTAAGGAGAAGTAGACATTAAACATTTAGGCAAATGATGGGAATTTCAGGAACAAGAAAGTGAGATGATTAGCAAAGATCTAAGGGGAGCATCATTTTCTAATTTACATTTTTTAAAACCCTGGCTGCTTTGTGGGAAGAGATTGGAAAGGGGCATAAACTAGGCCCATGTCTGTGGAGATCAGTGGATAGAATTTAGAAATAGAAAGAATTTGGTAATGAACTGGGTAAGGAAAAGGATGGTGATTCCCAGGTGTCTGACTTGAGCAAACCGATAGAAGGGATGCTATGAATTAAGATAGTAAAGAATGGAGGAGGAGTACTTTGGGGGCGGGAGGGAATCAAGGATTCAGTTTTGGACATGGTACATTTGAGATGCCTGCAAAATAGCCAAGGAAAAGATAAACCTTGAATGCATTTGAAAATGAATCCAGAAAAGAGGTCAGGGCTGAGCTTTGGCTGTGGGTGTCGTCGGCACATGGATATCTCTGAAGCCATGGGAGTGGATGAGATCACACAGGAGTGCGGGTAGAGTGAAACAGAAACACTTGATCCAGGACCAGCTCTGACGTGAGCCTGAGCAGGAGTGGCTAAAGGCAGTTAATTTGCTAGGGGGGAAAAATCCTATTTCATGGTCACAGACCACACAGTTCTGGCCCAGAACTCTCAGCCACAACCCCCAGTTGTCTCCGGAAAAGCCTTCAGTAAGGCGAGGAAAGAAGTCTGCTTCATGCATGTCTTCCCTGCATCGGGGAAGAAAGAGCTTCATTCTCCTTTTAAAAGGTGATCGCACCAGATAGAATCCAAAGAATAACATGGGAGTGTGAAGCTGGGTTTGAAGTTCCTCTGAGGCAGAGGTGGAAGCCTCAGAGATTAACTTCTCTGTTCTGGTTCAGACGTGGTTACCAGTAAACTGGGGGTGGGGTGGGGAGTGGGGGGGTGCGATCTTGCTTAGTTGGCAGCAGCCTTGCCTTTTGTGCTTCCTCTTATGGGAAGTTCAAGTGCTGCACCATAGAGTTTCTGTTTGGTCTTTATGTTTGAAAGTACATGAGATGGCCCTGGCCTGTTTGGCTCAGTGGTTAGAGCGTTGGCCTGTGAGGGTTCCATTCTGGTCAAGAGCATGTACCTGGGTTGCAGGTTCAATCCTGGCCCAGGTTTGGGTCGTGTGGGAAGCAACTGAGATATGTCCCTCTCACGTCGATGTTTCTCTTTCTCTCCCTACCTCCTTTCCACTCTCTCTAAAAAAAAAATCAATGGAAAAATATTCTTGGGTGAGGATTAACAACAACAAAAGAACATGACGCTTCTTAAAAAAAAAAAAAGAAAGAAAGAAAGAAATTAAATGGGATATTTAGATTTAATAAGAAAAGTAGCTTCGATGAGGTGCAAACTTGCAGTCCAGCTTTGGGAGAAAGAGGACAGAGGGATCTTTAGAATGGCTCTCCCTCTGGCTCCAGCCATTTCCCCAGATACAGTATTTCCATCAAAAAGACGTTGCAGTAAATCACAGCCGGGACGTTTGCAGACTGTGCATGTTCTAATAGATTAAAAGCAGAATAACCTTTCAACTCCATATAAAATAAATTTCTGAGGTCCTAAGTTATTTATTGCCTATCTCAAAATTTGGGGGTATCCCTTTCTGTATAAATCATGTTTATTTGTTGAGGTCCGTATCATAAGTTCAATAATGGAAGATAGTCCCTGGTCTTAATATAGTAATATGAACTACATGTGTGCCATTTCTCTGGATATCAATTCTTTAGTGTGAATTAACCTATATGTTCTTTTGCAAAGCATTGAAGAATAGGAATAGAAATGGACTATTGCTAAAATGATGAAAGCATTAAAAAGCATGGAAACGTTCATAAAGTTGCCTGTTTCTCATGCCTTTTCACTTTCCTTTTCTTTCTCAAAATATATTTTATTTCTTCTTCTGCAGTTTCAGTTCATGTTTCAGAAGTTTAAATATCAACATTTGTTTGAGGGCACCATTTCTAGTTCAGTCAAGATGTTCTTTCACGGTGCATGGCCCTGTATATTTATGAATGATGTTCTGGTCGCTGGGAACCACTTTGCAGCTACCTATACTATATACCTTGAGCTACTCTGGCCCAGATTTCGGGTCTAACATGGCAGTTCTACACTGAGGGAGTCACTTTCCTGGGGTGTCCTCCTGGCCTGGATTTGGGAGCAGCAGTTTTCTAATGTTGCTAGTCTGTCCAAACTGGAAATAATTTTGGATCATTGATGCCCTGGCTCATTTCTACATAATCTGTGTTTTTAAGACTTCATCTTTCATTACAGAATGACTGCTTTCCAACACGCAGGCCTAGACTTACACACTGGCATATGCAGAGAGAACAGCTGTTCCCAAGGCCAGGGGTGGGATAGAGACCCTGAGGACCCCGGAGAGGGAGGAAGCATAGCTGCAGCATGCACGGGGGTACGGGGGTGGGATTGGAGAAAAACTAAACTAGGTTTGGGGAATAAACATTGATTGAGCATTTTCACTGACTGGCTGTAAGCTGGGAACATCACCTAGTGTCTCATTAATATTTAACACATACGACTATTATAATATGTACCTTAAACCCCTGCCATATTACGTTATGAACATTCCAAAAGTGAACTCTAAGCATCAGCTTTTTCAAAGTATATTGTTCATGTAGCACATTTCATTAGCTCCTATAGTATGGTTATTTTTTCAAAACGTATAAAAAGGGTAAAGGGAACAGTGGCCATTCATCAGAAATGGCAAATTACATTAAGCTCTCCAAGGAATGTTTTATTTTTCCCCAGTACTCGGCTTCTGGGAGTTGAAGTTCAGGGTGGTTAGAATGGCCAAACTGGTAGATACTGGCCGGTGTCTTGGGGAATTTGACTTTTTGCAAGTGGATTATAAAGCCAGGCTCTCCTTTGATTTGCGTCCATGAATTTGCCATTTTATTCTATATCATAACGTTGTCATCTGTCTTACATTGAAATGAGTTTCTTTAAATTGTTCTTGGTAACTGTTTCCCAGAGGACAATTGTGGAGTTGATTTTATATTTTTGATGTATTTCTTATCAAGTTAAGGTAGGGAAAAATTACATAAAAACTTACTGCCTTGTGAGACATACTATTTTTATAATCAGAAGTGTTATTTTTAAGAGGCTTGAACCCTTTAACTTCTAAACAAAATATTGCCTACATAGCAGAAGGTATAAAACACTTGAATTGCTGCCCTGGCTAGTGTGGCTCCGTTGGGTGGGTGTCCTCGTACGCATGGAAAGGTTGCTGGTTTGATTCCTGGGCAGGGCAGCTGCCCAGGTTGTGGGTTGAATCCCTGGTAGGTGGCTTGCAGGAGGCAGCCCTTCAAGGTGAGAGCCATGATGTTCGCTCTCACATCAATGTTTCTCTTTCTCCCTCTCCCTTCCTCTCCCTCAAAATAAAAATAAAAAAATACTTGAATTGCCAAAGACCTTAAAGATTATACACAACAACCTGTTAAATTTACAAATGAGAACATAATGCCCTGAAATGTAAGGAATTTCTTTTTAAGCTCATTTCTAAATGGAAACTAATTATCAGTAGATGGGAGGCAAATCATATATCTTGTGGAAAAAATGAGAAGAAAAATACACTTTAATATATGTTTTTTAATTTGCTCTGTCACTTGTGCTGATCTGTTGTCCCCCTGTCCTTTGTTTTTAGTGGCCACAGATGTCTTTAATTCCAAAAACCTGGCCGTTCAGGCACAAAAGAAGATCTTGGGTAAAATGGTGTCCAAATCCATCGCTACCACCTTAATCGATGACACGAGCAGCGAAGTGCTGGACGAGCTGTACCGGGTGACCAGGGAGTACACCCAGAACAAGAAGGAGGCGGAGAAGATCATCAAAAACCTCATCAAAACAGTCCTCAAGTTGGCCATTCTGTACAGGAATAACCAGTTTAATCAAGATGAGCTGGCACTGATGGAGAAATTCAAGAAGAAAGTGCATCAGCTCGCTATGACCGTGGTCAGTTTCCATCAGGTGGATTACACCTTTGACCGCAACGTGCTGTCCAGGCTGCTGAACGAGTGCAGAGAGATGCTGCACCAGGTCACCCAGCGCCACCTCACCGCAAAGTCGCACGGACGGATTAACAACGTCTTCGATCACTTTTCAGATTGTGATTTTTTGGCTGCCTTGTATAATCCCTTTGGGAATTTTAAACCCCACTTGCAAAAACTTTGTGATGGTGTCAACAAAATGTTGGATGAAGAGAACATATGAGCATTTGAATAAAGATTGTGACTGCTCGCGATGTATCCAAAGATGGAGCACTGTTGATTTATGAAGGAAGAGTTTTTTGAAGAGTAAACGTATTTCAGAAAGACTTTGCCCAATTCAGTTGTCAGACATGAATGATAAAGTTTGTGAGGCTCGTTTTATTTGAAGAAAAGCATATTGCCAAACATTATGGTTAAAAGCTTCCTAAGGGTTAACAGATCATGAGAAAGATGTGTAGTTGCATAATGCAAATATCAAGTTATACAAAGAAAAATAGGCTTGGCTCCGAACCTTGAGACATCTTTACTAGGGCAGTTGTGTTGGCGGTACATTGGATATTTCTAACATGTACAGAGTTATATATTTTGATTCACTTTTATTCCTTACTATGTATATGTACCTCTTTTAAAAAACCAAGAGCTTTCTCTTGCTGGCATTTCTCCTTTTGAAACCATTCCATTTTCAAGTCTACCTTTGTTAAAAATTCTTTTGTTAAAGATTTCTGTCATTGACATTCAAGAATTGTCTTAATTAAGAATTAAGACATTAAAGAATTAAGGCAGTCAAATTGGAACCCTCAGAGGAATAGAAAACTGCTTCTCTGGAATCAATATTGTAGAAACCGCCTGTATTTGACATTATGAACAATGTCTTATATCAGAATATGCTTCTGGTGTTGATTCCCGATTTTTAGTACCAACTGTGATATTTCCCAAAATGTGGTAATTCCCTAAAACGTAATGGCGTGCCATTACCTTGAAATGCTTGCTGAGGGCTTAAGTTTTATGTTATCTTGAAAATGTGCTGATGGAATCTCCATTTTTTAATACTCATTTTGAATGTAAGAGACAAAGAGAAAATCTAGATTGTTTTTTATATTAAGACAATAAAAACTAAGTAATATCAAGAAAAATAAAACAATCTTTATTTTAGAAATGAGCCCATAAAATTTAGGGGGATAAGGGGCAAAAAAGAAGAAAAGATGTTGCTACAGAACACAAGAATGGAAATAATGCATTTCAATGTTTAGTAAGGTTTGATAGGTCAATAAAGAATGCCACTTTTTTATTTAACTGATAAGGTGTTTGCTACTTTTTAAATTTGCTATGAGTAAACCAAAGAGTATTTGCATTCCAAGCAGTTTGCGTCTTGTTTCTATATAATGTTATGTGTGCACGTATTTGCATTGTCTCCATGTCTTGCTTTGAATTTGCCTGCCTCCCACAATATTGACATTCAAATAACAGTTCTCGGGGAAAGGGTCTACAACTAAAAACTCCAGAGGAGGTGATCAGTTTCTCTGGGACTGTTATGTGCTTGTCTAAGCAGCAAAGGCAAGGGGTACCTCCCTGTTTGATACTAAATCCTGACATGAAGATTTGAACTTAAATTACTGTTCCCAGAACTGGTAGGTGACCACTAGATGTTATAGAAATAGCATAGCATAATGACTGCAGAAATGACCCCTTTAGCTTCATATCCTGCCAAGTAGCTTATGAGTTTAGTTCAGCAGCTTCCTCCTCACATGAGAAAGCCGAGTGAGTGATCTGTGGAAGCTACTGATTTGGTGCATTCTGTTCTCACCAGACCTCCCTCAGTGGGTGTGGAAAATAGAGTTCCCAGGCTATGCACAGGACCACTGGAGAAATGACCTAGGCATCCATTTAGATCAGTCTGGGCCCATTGGATCATAGAGTTAAGTCTGCAGGCTAGCAATGAATTATACATGGGGGATGGGTAGAGTGACCCATAATCTCACACTGAAGGAAGGTAGTGGGAGGTAAACCTGTTTGTTGTTATCTCTCAGCTTAGTCTTCTGGAAGGAACTCAACCTCTTATTCCTGGAAGGTATGCCCTGGATCAGTTCATCTCTGATGCACAGGACTCTCTTTGTGCATGAATTTAGTTGTGGGATGGGGGGTATAAAGTGTAGTGGGGTGGGGGTGGGCGAGGGTGGTTAAAGCCGGAAAGAATCCATATGTACTTAGGATAGATCATTCTGAGCCAAGCGATAATCACTTGGGGGGTCTTGTTAACAATTCAAAAGATTGAGCCTTTTTACATTTTAGAAATAACTTACGAATTGTGTTGTAATTGACTTTTACATTTTGGTGCTGATGGCATCTCTGCAAAACATTTTGAGTTGATCAAATAGATAAGCGATAATACTGGTATTTAACAACTGACACAGAGTGGTTCATTGTGTGCCAGGCACATTAACTCATTTAACCCCTGCCATGACCTTCACCATTTTTCAGGTGAGGACATTTTGTCAAGAGATGTTAAGGAATTTGCCCAAGGTCACATAGCTATTGTGTCAAAACCACAATATCAACAAAACTGTATTTTCGTTTAAAGATATATGGATAAAGGCACTTCTAGAAACATCATTGGTTCAGAGACGAGTGGGCAGTATGCTTCTGAAGTGGATTTCACATTGTGACATTTTAGATATTTAAGTCGTACAGGTGTGACCTGTTCCTGAGATCTGATTATAATTTTTTTAAAAATCCTCACCCGAGGATATTTTTTAAAAAATCCTCACCCGAGGATATTTTTCTGTTTATCTTCAGATAGAGTGGGAGGGAGGGGGAGGAAGAGAAACATTAACATGAGAGGGACACATCTACTGGTTGCTTCCTGCATGAGCCCAACCAGGGCCGGGGATGAACTGCAACCGAGGTATGTGCCCTTGATCAGAATCGAACCTGAGGCTCATTGGTCTGCGGGCCAAGGCTCTAACCGCTAAGCCAGACCGGCCAGGGCAAGATCTGGTTATAATTTACACAAAGATATTTTATGAAGTTTTCAACATGGCTCCCCATTGGGGGGCATCACATGGCTCAAATTTCTGTCCCCTCTGGAACTGAAATTTAAGGTGCTCGCAGTTAACAATGACTTTGAACACGGACACAGGAGGTACCGTGTGCCCCAGCCCCCAGGGGGTCTTTCGGTGGACACTCAGCCCTCTGTATGTGCACCCGGCAGACTCGACAGCTCACCGTTGTGTTCTCCAGGAAACATCTGGCACCAGTCTGCAGCTTCATTATTTTCCAGGTTTAGAGGCTGGAAATATCTGAACACGTAAGTTTAAAGATAGCCTTTGTGTTTTTCTGATTATGAGACCTTTTTGTATACAACTCAAAATTAGTTTTTAAAAAGTTAAAGTTAGGACCTTTAATAGTACAGAAATAATGTGCTCTCTCTGTCTTATATAACAGTATCTCGTTCGCCATTATCTGGAAAGTTTTTTTTCCTCCCACCATCTAAATACTTAAAAAACACAAAGCTTAAACGTTGTGATGGATGTTTCCCTGCAAAGGATTAATATAGCACTTTTTGTTTTTTGGGTTTTTTTTATCCTCACCCGAGGACATTTTTCCATTTTTTGTTCAGGTAGAGTGGGAGGGAGAGAGAGGAACAGAGAGAGAGAGAGAAACATCGACGTGAAAGGGACACATCGAGTGGCTGCCACCTGCACGACCAACCAGGGCCGGGGACAAACTGCAACCGAGGTACATGCCCTTAGCGGGAACCGAACCCGGGTCTCTCAGGACTGCAGGCCGACGCTCTAACCGCTGAGCCAAACCGGCCAGGGCGATATAGCACTTTTTGTGATCGACATTTCAAGTCAACTGGATTTGCACTGAAAATTTAAATTTATCCTTGAGATACTCCATGAGAGCATATAAGCTAAGTTATAATTTAGCATATCAATCTTGACAGATAATAAATAAAAGATGAATGTGTCTGTCCGTGTGATGAAATACTTGTAGTAAAAAGTTTAGTACTATTTAATTGCTAGGAGATTAAAATATTCTAATGAAACAAACTTAGTATGTTTATAGGATTTATAATAGTATCACATTTTTAGCCCACCTTGCATTTCCAAACCTGTGTTATCTAAATTAGTTGAACTTTGCAGTGTTTGAAAAATTACTGCCTTACTTGATACATTGTATTCCTGGGCATAAAGCTTCTGTGTAGTTTGTTAAGCTCAAAGCAGGTTTTCACATCCAGTGCTGTTTGTGACAGATACATTTTTATCCTAGCTCTGAAATGATTTTCTTACTGTGATTCAGATGAAGTCTTCATAGAAAACCCCCAGTGAAAAACACTGAGGCACCCACCAGAAAAATTAGTCAACTTTTTGTTTCTAAATGGAACAGAAAAATCTTTAGGAGCTTATAATCACATATCCCTGGTGTGGCAAACTTGAAAATCCATTTTTCCTTTTATTGAGGTATCCTCGTGGTTAGTTATGTAGGCCCAGAGCCAGAAAAACACTTTTATTTTGGGGAATTTCCCAAAATGGAAACATTTTTCGGTAATATGGATTTATGTCTGTCTAGCCAAAGATGTGTTTTCCATCTAGCAATGAATGTCGGTCCCAAGTTATAGAGGACAAGTCACTCCAAGGCAGCCCGTCTGCTGAGCACTGGAAAAGGATATGTACAAGTCAGCCAGCGTTCACAGTTAAGAGAAAAACATCTGTGCTTTGGAAAATGTTCTTCAAGTACAGAGAATTGTGCTCTGTGTCCACCAAGTTTCCATTGGACCTTGATAAGATTAGCCAGCCAATGAAGAAGGCCCCTCATCTTCCTTCGTGGGGGGCTGAGGAAATGTCCTGCCCCCCGCGGCAGCTGCATGACTGTGCTTCTGCCTCACGCCAATAAGATGGCTGATCAGACACTTGGGGTTTGTTCTGAACACAAGGAAAGAATACTTGATTTTAAGAAGTACGTATTTTGATTTGCAGAATGATCTCTTCCGTACTTTAGTTTTTCCAGTTAAAAGCTTACAGATAGATGGATTAAATCATTCAAGGTATAAACACAGGGCATGGAAGCGGAAACTCTGAGCATACCTACCTAGATTGGCACCATTATCTGGGATGATTAATGTTTTGTAAGAAGCCAAGGTTACGCCCTGGCCGGTTTGGCTCAGCGGTTGGAGTGTTGGGCCTGTGGACTGAAGAGACGTGGGTTCGATTGCAGTCAAGGGCATGTACCTCAGTTGCAGTTCGGTCCAAAGCCCTGGTCAGGGTCGTGCAGGAGGCAACCTTAATCAATCTGTCTCTCTCACATAGATGTCTCTCTCTCTCTCTCTCTCTCTCTCCCCCCCCCCCCCCTTCTACTCTATCTGGAGATGGATGGAAGAATATGCTCGGGTGAGGATTTAAAAAAAAAAAGCCAAGGTTACATTTTCCTGGAAATTACTTTTATCAGCCCAGCTGAAGCTACTACGCACCCATCCTAAATGACTGTCAATATCTTTTGCTGCTAAGACTGCTGGTTTTCATTAGAGGATAAATACTTGCCAAGAGAATTATACATTTTTATAAGATATGAAATGTCCTGGAAGAGAACTTGCTGGTAATTAGATAAAAGTGCCAGCATTACTGCTATTCCCTTATCACAGTGATTTTCAATCATTTCTATCTCATGGCACACATACACTAATTACTAAAATTCTGCAGCACAGCAAAATATATTTTTTGCCAATCTGACATAAAAATAGGTATAATTTTGATTCATTCACAGCTATTGTGTTAGCTTCTGTCATTTTTATTTTATTTTTTTCTTTATTGACTTTAGAGAGAGAGGAAGGGAGAGGGAGAGAGATAGAAACATTGATTGGCTGCCTCCTGCAACCCTCCCCCCCCCGGGGATCGGGCCCACAACCTGGGCCTGGGCCCTGATCGGGAATCGAACAGGCGACCTCTTGGTGCATGGGTCGATGCTCAACCACTGAGCCACACCAGCCAGGCTACTGACATTTTTTATTTGACAATCTAAGGGAAAAGAGGTCAGTGCCCTGACTAATCAGTGATTGCATGTTTTAAAAATTCCAGTGGCCCAGTTTGAAAACCACTGCCCTATCATATGGACTTTGTGTTCTCACACTGAGGAGCCACATTTTTAGTTTGCTGAAATAGTCACTGGAGAATATGCAGTGAAACCCCCGAGTGGAAACTCTCCATAGTATTCTCAAACACCATTTGTCAGCAGTTCGGCATCTCTTCCTCCAGGAGGTTCACTGGAGGGTGGCCAGG